CCTATACATTTTATCTTCTGACTTACTTTATTAATTAAGCTGTAAAAAAATCTTCCCTTTTTCCCATTATTCCACTTTACTTGCCATTCTTCAATCACTTTACTCCAAATTAAAACCTTAATCTCTGACTTACTTAACGGAACTTGAATCTCTATGATTTCTCTCTGTAGTGCTTGTTTCGCTAATTTATCCACTTCTTGCATAACAGGCTGCAACCAACCCGCTCTAAAATAGGAAGCACTCGTCACTAATTGGTGGTCACAAATGTCAATCACCACCACTTACCTCATTCATACTGTCACATATGCCTATCTAAGGTTAGTAAGGCAGCCTATCATATAGATCACTTTCAGGCCTCCGTGTCACATTGTGCACTATACCGGTTCCATACATCTATATCATTGAAGATAAAATATCATCAAATATGAGTATACATTTTGTGGTTATAATTTTGTGGTTACAATCTTTCTACACTTTCAGCTCAGCTAGTTGGGCAGAACAAGGTTGGTCACAATGTTGTGAGATGTCAGGGACATACTTCTTATCTTCTTTTTTTTTTACTACAGAATACCCTGCATGATTTCCTAAGTGGTCTTTAAAGCATGAGCTATCGACAAATTAAGTAACATCAGCTTCAGCAATAGGAGTGGACTCAAGGTCTGGTCGTAAGCGGGAAAAGCTAAAGAGTCAGCTACACAATTATGTGGTTCTTCCTCAAACTCCAGAGAAATTGAATCAGCTGGATTGACACTGGTACACCACTTAATAGTAATGTCAGGATAAGTCAACAGTGACGAAGTGGCTAAACTATGACCCTGAGTCATATCGAATCTATCCTGTTCTAAGAGCTCCACAACCTTATGACGTGTGTAACTAACTACTGGGTAGCCCATAGTTAGAGTGGAGATCAGGCAGCTAGCCCCTGCTGATAGCATGGGGGGTAGCCTTGTGCTAAATTATCTAGCTTGGTACCATAATAAACAGTGGGTTGCTTTTTCCCACGTCTCCTGCATCAGCACCGCTGATCCATAGCCATCAGTCCTGTTAGCCACATACAAATGAAATGGCTTGGAGTAATCAGGGGTGGTGCCCACCAGCAAAGGTGCCCCCTGGAGTTCCCTTTTTATGGACTCAAAGGCCAATAAAGCATCACTATTCCAATTTAAAGGTGATCTTAGTTTTTGCTGCCCTGCCGGTTTCATGATTTCTTGCAGAGGTGCAGTCTTAACAGCATAGTCATTTCATTTCAAATGATCACTAATTCCCTGTGTTTTCTGCAACAATTGATGTAATCTTTCATCCATTCAACTCTCCAGTTCTAAATTTAATCCTGTAGTTAGAAGAATAGCACCTTTCATGAATTTGGTTTTTCCTACACTAGTATATATCAGCTCTCCAAAATGGGCTCTAGCCTGGTGTCTACAAAAATTTAATTTTAGATGGCAGATGTTAATCTTTTCCCCTGCTTAACGTGCCTTTCTTAACACTTTTGTTGCGAGAGGAAAGAATTCTTTTATTCTGGCATGATTTGTGGCATAAACCAATCTAATTTGTTCAAATTCAAACTGAATTAGCAATTGATAGGCCCTATAATGAGTATATGGGGTTGGGACCTAGAGCTATAGTCACCCCCTATTTAATCAGTAGTGCTTTCATCTCTTTATCAGGATCACAATTGACTGCAATTGGGAGCGCAACCAAATAATCTACAAAAATACCCTCTTGGGATGTTTTTATGAGCAATATTCTTTTGTTCTGGATTACAACATTTCGGTAAACGTTCGAACAATCTACAGAACCAATTTCTCTGAGAGTTTATAGTTTTGAGAATATGCATGGAAACAACACTCTTTTCTCTCATGAAGGAACCCTCTGATTCATGCACCCATACATGCTGGCATAGAAACACACAGCTTTCTTCCACAGTCCCCTTTTCCAATACGAAGGTTGGGGTCCCTTTATTTGGTGGAGGCACATCCATGTGCCTCAATTCAAACTAGGGCTAATGTATGATTCACACACATTCCCTTCCAGTAGAATACTAGCCGCAGGGAGATGTCCAGGGGAGGTGTGTGTCCACTAACCACCAGATACAGAGTTTATTTTTGCATACACACTCTCTCTCTCTATCTCAAACACACATACACACACTTACATTCACACTTCTTTTGGTATACTTCGTATACTCACCTCTGTTTAGTTACTCCCAATCCACTAATTCAGCAGGATGCAGGCTCACTGTTTACCAAAAACATACACTTGAACCTGCAGCAGTTTTGCACCAAAGCAGCATACAACTTTTAGGCCACTCCATCCTCTTCTGGTAGTTAATTAAGAAGAAAATAGATAAAATATAGTTGTTCAATAATGTGTAATGTGTAACTGTTCAATAATTCAATGTGTTATGTTTAAAAATAAAATATCTGATCATAAAAAATGTGTTGTGTTTATATTGTTGTTGTTGTTCCTCTTTCAGCTGCTCAAATTAGGGGTCGCCACAGCAGATCATTGGTCTGCGTATTTGATTTGGCACAGTTTTTACACCGGATGCCCTTCCTGATGCAACCCTCCCCAGTTTATCCAGGCTTGGGACCGGCACTGAGAGCACACTGTTGCAAGCATCCCCAATGGCTGGGGTTGATTCCCTGGCTGGGAAACGAACCTGGGCCACAGCAGTGAGAGCGCTGTTGCCTAACCACTAGCCCTCCAGTGACCCGTGTTGTGTTTGTATTACTTTTACAAATAAAAATATGTGATAATACTCAAATAAATCTAAACTAACAAATTTCAAATCATATTTTTTGCCAAGATGTCCAGTCAATTTGAGTAATGTCATTGTGTATTCTACATAATGCCGCAGTTTTACATCATTACATAATGACGCCATCACACAATGACATCACGAAGCAACTTTTAGCAAAAAATCAACCTGCCTGTAGCAACTTCCCTTGAAAATTAGTTTCAACACTGGGTGGTGCTCATGTGCCACCTGTGTCATCGGTGCAGTTCCTGTCATGCCTTGCCACAAGAATAGAGGTATGCATGTGCCAAAGTCAGTATTATTAAGTCAGTAAATGATAGACGGGGGATACAGTCTCCAATTTGCTCTCACTCCACCTCACTTCAATGGAATACTGTTTTCAAAGGCTCGAAGCTGAAATTGGATCCTTTGGGAGGACATATCCTCACTGATGGTCAAAAGAGCAATCAGAGGAGTACCTCCCAAGGAGAACCGGTTCGGTTTCTACTCTAGGTATATTCTACTCAAGGTATTTTTCCATAGTAAAAAAAAGGGAGGGGGCTTACGGCTGATTCCTGATGTGTGAAAATTCAGAATGCTGATACATGCAACCCTTTTGAGCTTTGTGCAAAAAGGCAACTGGTTCACTCCAGTCAACCTAGAAGATGCACATTTTCATGTCACTATATACCCTCCCACAGAAAGATCCTGAGATTCACATTTCAGGATGTGACATACAAATATTTGGTTCACCCTTTTAGGGTCTCAAGCCCTCAAGAGTTTGTGAAATGCTCTGAGGCGGCTGCGGCCAGGAGAAAGGGCATTTGTCTGGCCACTTACATAGATGACTGGCTTTTAGCGACTCAGTGGGAACAGGAGGGTCACAGGGCATCTGAGTGCTCTAGGCTTGCGTGTGAACATGTCAAAAAGTGTTCTGACTCCCACTCAGACAATTTCATATACCGGGCTTGTTCAAAGCGGGTCTGTCAGTGGAATGCGTAGGTGTTTTCTGGGCATGTCTGGTGCATTTTTCAGTGATGGCAGTATGTCAGCCTTCTTGACACAAGGAGTTGGGTCACTCAAGTTCAAGTTCAAGTGGAGTTTATTGTCATTTCAACCATATACAAGTACATAATGAAATGAAACAACGTTTCTCCAGGACCAAGGTGCTGCAGAAGACAAACACAGAACAACACAGAACTACATGTGCAGACAGCACAAGACAGTACAATGACTACTGGGACAGACAATGGGCATAGTAAGTCCCAGTGCAGTGCCGACCAGTACACAGTTCTGTTTAAAAGTGAACCTAGTGACAATAGTGCAAGAGTACAAGAGTACAATACAAGTAGCTGAAATAGTGTAAACATAAGAGTAGCAGCCTATGTACAATATAATAAGTATTGTAGCAGCAGAAACATGTGCAAAAACTTGCAAAAAAATTGCAGAGAGGATGGAGAATGCTCAGTTGTGTGTGTATATATGTATGTGTGTGTGTTCCTTCAGTCCAGTTTCAGAGTTTTTAGGAGTCTGATGGCTTGGGGGAAGAAACTATTGCACAGTCGTGGTCGTGAGGGCCTGAATGCTTTGGTACCATTTACCAGACGGCAGGAGGGTAAAAAGTGTGTGAGAGGGGTGTGTGGGGTCATCCACAATGCTGGTGGCTTTGCGGATGCAGCGTGAGGTGTAAATGTCCCTGATGGAGGGAAGAGAGACCCCGATGATCTTCTCAGCTGTCCTCACTATCCGCTGAAGGGTTTTGCAGTCCGAGACAGTGCAATTCCCAAACCAGGCACTGATGCAGCTGCATAGGATGCTCTCGATAGTCCCTCTGTAGAACTTGGTGAGGATGGGGGGTGGGAGATGTGCTTTTCTCAGTTTTCTCAGAAAGTACAGGCGCTGCTGGTCTTTCTTAGTTATGGAACTGGTGTTGAGCGACCAGGTGAGGTTGTCCGCCAGGTGAACACCAAGAAACTTGGTGCTCTTGACGATCTCCACGGAGGAGCCGCCGATGTTCAGCGGAGAAAACTCCATGAAAACTGCAGCCATAAAATGTATATGAATCATTGGTAATAAAATTTAACATTGCAGGGAATATTGTTAAATATCATGAATAATGTAAGGTGCTACAACTTAAGATATACATAAGATAATTTTAATGTCATCCTGTTTCTCACTACTGTAAAAAACATAATGTCTTTCTAAATTCTCCCAATTAATTAGTGTCAGAAATTGTGTCATTCAGGGTCATTGATTGTTCAATGATTGTTCAGGGTCATAGCCCGCTTTGGGTGCGAGTTCTTTTAAAAGTCGTTGTGAATTTAACCGTTGGTGTCTGCATGGGTTACGTTCAAACTGTTTAAATAAAAACAAGGTTTCCATTAGTAACAACAAATGTCAACAACTCTGTCAGTCAAGCACAGTTTATGGCATTTAAAAAACAGAAGAAAATTACCAGAACTTAAGATTATAGATAAAATCAACATTTTAAGTTTGGAGATTTTATCATGTCCTGTTTTGGGTATGTTGCACTTGAAACAGCCGCAGCCTTATGCCCAAGCTTCGAATTTCCCACCGGATCTCACATTCACGCATGATGTGTATCACATGATAATACTTATAGATCTCCTACGATAATCAACATGGCAGATCAGAAGCGTTTCGACAATCTATGATGTTCGTGTCCAGGTAAGTTATGCTCATAACTTGGATATGTTTGAGCAGAAGCAAAAACCACCCTCCATTTTATACGAGTGGAATCACCGTCATCATGATGATAACAAAATTTGCATCAATGCAGAAGTTTTTGATAGGTGAGAGACTGATTCTCGATCCATCAGCAGTGCTCACCATTGACTTTGCATGTTGGGAGAGACGAACATGGGTCGTGTCCACCTTTACATTGAGCTCTCCAAATCAGTAAATTCACCTGAAAATAAGTCATTTTCGTAGGCATGCTGAACATGAGTGTCAAGCCTGTGTTACATTCATCTCATAGATTTAAAAGAAATATCTGTATTTTAAAACTACCATGGAATATCAATTCTTTTAAGATAAGGCATGGAGGTCATTATAGGTCAGGTATTGGATGAAGATATGCCACCTGGAATCCTACTTAATTATCATTAGGATAAACTTAACAGTTTTTTTTATGTTCTCAATTAGAATTGTTCTGTGTTTATTACAAGTACTAGTGTTCCATGTTTGCCATCCAATGTTCAACTGCCAAATAGAAAGGATAACTGGGTTACATCCATCTACAATATACCTTACGAGTGGTTTGCTGTTAAAGGTTGTTGACCCCCTCACTATTGTTACACACTCCACTGAAATAGAAAATAGGTTGGTGCTCAGCAACTCATTCAAAAAATTTCTTTACACCTAAAAAGGAGTTGACCCATTGTGTTCTTTTGCAATAATTGGATAATGTGCCAAAATGCATTGTAATATTGGAAAATTTCAAAATTTGCCGTCCATGTTACGCTCACAATGTTTCATGCAGGGTATAGTGAAGTCACTCAATTAATATACAGTGGATATAAAAAGTCTACACACCCCTGTTAAAATGCCAGGTTTCTGGTGATGTAAAAAAATGAGACCAAGATAAATCATTTTTCCACCTTTAATGTAACCTATAACCTGTACACCTCATCTGAAAAACAAACTGAAATCTTTTAGGGGGGCGAGTAAAAATAAAAAAACAAAATAATGTGGTTGCATAAGTGTGCACACCCTCTTATAACTGGGGATGTGGGTGTGTTCAGAATTAAGCAATCACTTTCAAACACATGTTAAATAGGAGTCAGTACACACCTGCCATCATTTAAAGTGCCTCTGATTAACCCCAAATAAAGTTCAGCTGTTCTAGTAGGCTTTTCCTGACATTTTCTTAGTCG